CCCGCCCCGCCTTGCCTTAAACGGGGAACGGGGCGGGGATAGGGAATGAATTTCTTAACGGGGCGGGGGACGGGGAGGGCATCCCTGCCCCGCCCCGTTGCCATCCCTAGCCATCTTAAAGGAATTCCATGAAAATTTTATTTAGAAATAATAATCAAATTTTAAAGAAATTATTCTTAGTTATCAGTGAATCAGTGGTGTTAGAGTATCAGTTTAGATGACCACATTCGATAATTAATAGAATATATCATTTAATACGATACAGTTATCACCTAAATACAATGACTTATAATTAATTATAATGATTACTCTTTATGAATACCATTCAAAGTAATTTTAATGATTAAAGTATTACTTTGATAATTAATGCCACTAAATACAATATCTTATAATTAATTATGATCGGATATAATTAACATTTATACCATCCATGTACAACAAAACAATTAAATTCTATTTTTTATTAGGTGTATTTACTCAAAGATCTGATGAAATGAAAATTTTATACAAAATTAAGTTAATTTTGATCCATTTCTCTCTTCCAACAACTTTAATCAAAATTGCATTGATAAAATGACTAACATAAAATTGTTATATACTCCCTCCGTCCCATTTATATATGTTTGTTTTATTTTTCACACAGATTAAGAAATCTTATTTAATGTTATTGAAAAATCTTTGCCAAAAACTTTCCTAGTTTACCCTCATTTAATTATCAATAACTAGTAGTAAATTATTATTGAAAATAATAAATAAATAAATAAGGGAATATTAGTAAACGAACAAAACAAAATATTTTTAATAATTAAACAAGACTATATAATTGGGATAAGAAAATAAGGAAAGTAAGCCTATATAAATAGGAAGGAGAGAGTATAACTATTTTGCTTTTGATAACAGGACAATTGGCGATACTAACATTACGCAACCAAATAAACTCTAGAGAATCAATAATGACAAAATTGATACCGAATAATCTTTTTTTTTTTTTATGAGGTTAGGGTATTGATTTTTTTTTTTTTTTTAATGATGTTAGGGTATTGATTGTTAATAAGTGAATAATAGAACCCTAAATTTCATGAAAAATGAAAAACTCACAAGCATCTTTACCCCCATAAAAAAGACCATTGTGTATTAATTCACCATCAACTCAAATTTAAGAGTGAAAAATGTAGTATAATGAAGCTGTTTGACATGCTTAAAAGTGGTTTTTTAACTTTTAGTTACTTTTTCCAATAGCCAAAAAATTGGCTTTAACTTTAAAGCATGGCCAAACATGCCCTTAAATGAGGCAGAAATATACTTTTGTTTTGCTTGTGTATATATAGAAAGAACGTGTGGATGTAAACATAAATAACGCGTTTGTTTATAATAGTAGATCGATTGAAAAAGTTCACGGAAAAAAAAGTTAAAAATCTATCTATTCTACGTAAGTCATGTTCATACTCATACGAAGCATGCCCCGTTTGGACACTGCAATTGAAAGCAACAAGTTGCTCCAACATTCAAAATCTACCTTCCAAGAAACTAATTCTTCAAACTCCAAAAGAACAAAAAAAAGGCGATCACTCGCGGCCTTAGGCTTCTTCGATGCAACATTATTTGTCTCCCCTCACTCTATCTTTCTATATATCATGCTTCTGTGTATACTTGTGTATACCATAAAATTTGCTGCAAGAAAACACTAAGGTTAGTTAATAAACACTCCACCTCCGTGATGATTTGATTAAAACCCACATATACAAATAACATTAAAAATAAAATTTAGCAGCAAGCTATTTGATTCCATTTGCACCAGAAACATTAAAAAGCTTAACACCCCCCCACCTCCAAGTAGGGTATGCTTGGGAGTCTAAGCATCATCTATCAAAGCTCTTCTCTTTTAGCACACCTCCATTGTTCAATGACAGAAAGTTAAAGCATCTGATTGTGGTTTTTGTATGGAGCCTAATCACAGTGTATCAACCTAATATTCTTACGTATAAGATATTATTAAGGGAGATACAAACTTAGATGTGACAGCACTATAACCTTGAATTGGTCAGTTCTTAGGTTTGCTCCCGAGTCTCCTCAGGGCCACTGAGATGAGTATCCGGTCGTAAACTTTAGGGCCCCGTGACATTAGTTGAGATGCGCACAAATTGGTCGGAACATCCATGGTTATCAAAAAAAAAAGATGTGACAGCACTATTGTAATCTTTTTTTAAAAAAAAATATCCGTGAAATTATGTAAATGTGTTGAGAGTTCACCCCTATAATTCTGTATATTTACATGTGTGCATTTTTTGGTTTCGGTTTTCTTAATATTGCTCGCTTACTAGGAATTTATTATGGAAATCCACACTTGCACTACCACTTCTGCAGAAGGAAGATGTTACCTAAATTTTTCTCAAATTTGTAGCCAATGAAATGAAAAACCGTGTGAGGAGCAATATAGTGGGCGCACATAAGGTTAATCACCAATTAAGAATTATATGTGTTCACTGAGTGTAGTGGGATGGGAAACATAAAGATAAAAGTTCCTATAACCATTCCACACTGCACCATACAATACATACTTTAAGTACCAAATCTTCCAAGAGACAACCCCGTGCAGCAATCCATCAACCCTCCAACACAACACAAAAACCGTGGAGTACACTTAGGCCCATTTGACATGACTTTTGAAAAGTCAACAAAAGCTTTTGAATCTAAAAGTTGATTTGGACTCGTTTAACTAATTTTATGAAAGTGATTCCAGTAGTTAAAAGAACTTTTAGAGAAAGCAGTCCAACGCGGATTCCTCTAGAAGCACGTCCAGAATATAAAGTCGTTTTAGAAATTAGTTTTCAAACAAAAATTGAAATAGTTTTCTCCAAAAACTCTTCTACAGGAAGTAAAAACAAAAGCGAAAGATATAACAAACGGGCCCTAATTAATTTGGAGTATGTGAAGCCAAATTTTTATTAGTATTTCACTCTAATATATACTTCCGGTATTAATGTGGTTTTTTGTGTAAAAGTAGTGTGAAGATAATCTATTCTTCTTGAAATAGATCTTAATAAAGATGAATTATTAGAAATTTGTGTAATTATTTGTTTGTTTCTAAGTTTTCATTCGAGATAATAAGAAAAACCAACAAAAGAATAGAAAGATGGAGGGAATTTACCTTGATGAAATATTTGTGGAAAGAATAAAGCACATAGGGCAGTTATTTCTGACATGATTTTCATTTTAACATGAATGATTAACGCTCCTGCCCTCTTCGCTTTTGGCTCTTTGCTGCTGCTGTGGCTGCGAGTGTGATGCCTTCGGTTCCTCAGGCTGCAACTGAATTAGCTGCTGTAAATGGTGAGTTGAAGCATTCTCTTGTGGCTGTTGCTGAAGGAAAAACTCATGGGATTGAAGCTGAACCTGGTGAGAATGCGAGTGATCCCGTGCCTCCTGTTGAATGTGATGGAGAGGGTTGTTTTCATAAGAACCCAAGGCCAAAGGCGGCGGCATGGCGTCATCATCTGTGATTTGAGTAAATCCGGTGGCAGTCACGGGCCCTCCTGTGGTATCGAACCCTCCATTATACCTTACTAAATCATCCTGTTGCTGGTGTTGGTGCTGCTCATAAGTCCTCAACATCTCCGGCTCCCCAGCGGCAGCCACCGCAGCCAGTTGTTGAGCATCCAAAATCTGCTGCTGCTGGGGATCCCGAATCATCAGTTGCGAGCCATGTGACACTCCGGGAGGCATCGCCATCATCGGCTGCATATTGTACGGCATCGCCTGAAAAGCTGAAGCCGCATAATTCGGATACTGCTGCTGCTGCATGAAACCTTGTTGATTTAGCATAGGAAGCATGGCTGCAGGCCCAATGTAAGTAGCCAATTCTTTCTTTGCAGTAGCCAAATCATTATGGACTTGCCTAATCTTGTGCTGAAGGATAGATATTAGTCCAACACATCCATAAACAGGATCGCGAAGCCGGTATTCCGCCTCGTATGCCAACGAATTTACAGCATCTTCTCGCTGACTGACGTTGAGTTCGTTGAGGAGTTTTGCCACGTTACTAGCCCCAAAAACTTTATGAACATTAGCAAATTTCTGTGGGTTGTCCGGCGGAAAATATGGCGCAAACACACACTCTAGCGTGCACTTTCGCCGGAGAAATTTGCACGCTGCACATGGAGAGGTTGTTGAAGACATTTTCCTCTTCTTTACTTCTGATGAGCACATCATTAATCATAAAAAATAAAAGCCATTAATGAACACGTCTTTTAAAAAAACCTTTTCAATCTCAAGAAAGGACTAGATTCGATGAAAACAGTTTGTATATATGCACTTGCACATGTAACTGAGATATATTTATAATTTAAACATTAAATATTTGTGTGTGTGAATTCGTGGAAAATATTGCATTCAGCGAAATTTTGCTTACAGATTTAAACAATTAATTTACTAAACATATCATTAAAGGGTGGCCTGTGATGGAAAGAATCAATAATGGAATCTCAATCAAAAAGTAAATGATACAGAAATGAACTGGAACAACTTGGAATGCAAGAAACCTTTTAGATCCGAATCGTTGAACCAGAAGATAATCTTTTTGTTTGGATGGATCCAAATGTCAAGATCCTTCCTTATCTTTAATCAAACCAAATCTCACAATGTTCATAACAAACAAAGAAAGAAATTCAAAATAAAAATAAAATTGAGAGATTGGAAGATTAATGGAATTCTTACCTTGGATAAATTATGCTTTAAATTCCAATTTGAATCTCTCCCTCCTCTGTAACACTTATATTTTTCCTCAAATTCAAACAAAGATGGAAACAGAAACGAAAAATCGACGTTGATTTTTGTTGAAGAATCAAAGAAAAGTTGAACAATGGATAAATTAACATTCGGTTTATCGGAGAGAGTGGAGACGTAGGGTTCGAGTACATTAGCTCTTGATCCAATCTTCAACTTCAGCGATCCCGAGAAAATTGAAGGGAAAAATAATTAATATATAAAATTTTCTCATTTTTTTCCTTATTCAAACAAGAGATCAGATGAACTGTTAAAAATCAGAAGTAAAATGATACAAAATGTGAAGAAAATGGCGAGATCGTTGCCACGGATTCTACGTTATTTACATATTTTGTGTGTGTATATATAAGCCCGTATGTGTGTAGGGTTGATGAGAATCCCTAATGCTGGTGGCGTAATCTAAACCGTCACGTGTATAAAGAAAATGCGCTTGGCCGTTGGATTAAGAAATGGGATTAGGGCTTGGGTTGTTATATTCACTCCATATTATATTATAAATATACCATATTTTAATTACATTAATTATTAACATTTATTTATTATCACACTTATATCATTAACTTTTTTCCTCATCACATTCTTATTTTTATCCATGTTTGTATCATTAAAAAATCTCATTAAAATTTAATTCAAAATTAACAATTAATTTTAATCACATATTTCTTAGAACCAGCAACTTTTAATCACACATTCAATTAACTTTTATCAAAATCTGTTAAAATCTGTATCAAGCAGGGGCTTAATATTTCATTGATAAAAAAATATTATCCTTAATCATGATATTCGTCCAAAAGTATTGTTAACGTACTTTAAAATGAGAGTCAAATATTTAATCGCATTTTTGTATTATTATTTTGCATATTTGAAAACACAAAGGGAAAATGAGTCTTTTTACTCTATTTTAAAGAAAAATTTAGAGAGAAAATATAATTAGAAACAATTTATGTTAATATGAGAACAATAATGAGATGTGAAAAAGTTTGAGACATAAATATAATAATGTGTAAAGATTATACACATTTCATGTAATTAAAATGCAAATTATTTATTAAAAACTGCTGTAGGAATATATTTAGCCTTTGGTTGTGTAACATGTACATAATAAGTTTATATCATGTTTACATACATATCATGTAGTGAAATACAATTGGGTCAGAATTTCTTCAACTAAAAAAAAAAACCTCCCGGGTCTTTTTGTTGGGTTTTAATTTGTCATATGGGTCTACATATGAATTTATTGTGTATAAATATTATCTTAATGCATAAGCCTAATTAAAATGATTTAATAGAAAATTAAAGTTATTGACTTTGGGCAACTAATTAAAGTATGGACCTAAATATGTACAGATGTCAATTTCCTATATATATATATATATGGTCGCCAATTCATATGATATTCTTATTATTTGTGTCATCTCATCAACACAATAATAATAATAAGAGAAAACATATTCAATATAAAGATTTAAAACTTAGAATTAAGAATTTAAAAAAAAAAAAAAAAGCAATCAAGATCAAGAAACTGTAATCAAAAACATCTATCAAGATCCGATTTTAAAAATTCATTCACAATAAATCAAGGTACGTTTCATATTTAATTATTCTATTAGTGATTTTATTGGGGGATTTTGGTAATAAAGTAATTAGGTGGTGTTCTCTTTGGCCATTTTGGGTCGTTTTCTGTTTTCGATTTTCCAAAACAATGAAAATGTGTTCTCTTTCCTATTTTTTGAAAATGCGTTTTGGAAAACAATAAAAACAATGTTTTGACTGTTTTCAAGCAAAAACAGGAGAAAAGGCGAAAACACGGGAAACAACCATTTTTAACACCTCTACAGCTCCACAGCCCATTTTCAATTTCTTCTCTCTTCTTCCACCATCCCCTCTCTTCCTTCCCTCCGGAGCCGGCGTGGGGAGGCGACTTATTCTTCGCAGGCGTGAATGCAGTGTCGCGACCCATTCTTCGCGACGCTGTTATGGTTTGGCCCATCTCTGCGTACTCTCTCGGCAAGGTGAAGTTCTCGGCAACCCATTGGTGTCGTTCTCGGCAAGGTAAAGTTATCTCTCTTTTCGATCTGCAAGTTTAGGGGTTTTTTATTTTTCCGATTTTGGTCGTGTTGATTGGTTTCGACCCATTGATTTCGGTTGTGTTGATTGAAAATTGTAATGGTGGTTGTGTTGACAGTGGTAACTGGTGGTGGGGGTGGTGATGGTAAGCAGTGGTGGTGGTGGTGACGGCGGTGGTGATTAGTTGATTGCAGTGGTGGTGAGTTTAGGATTGGGTGTTTTTATTGTTCCATTCGTTAGTTGCTTAACTGATTCTGCCGTAATTAACTGATTTTCTATTCCAACCATGTGAGCTTTGATATCTATTATGAAGATTTTTGAATAAATTGTTAGAAGTTCTGAGTGAGTTTATTAATGTGTTATGAATTGCAAGACATTCTTCCTCAAATTTTTCATCAATTAGGTATGCAACACTTCCTGTTTCTTGTGGTATTTTCCTGTTTGATTGCTGCTATTAGAACTTGATTAAATGAATGGTTTAACCTAAAAAATTCAAGCCTTGAAAACTTGGAGAATATGAAGAAATTGGCAAAGCAGTTCCAGAAGCAAGTGTCTGGTGCTGGTGCTACTTTGGAACAGAAAGACAATGAGGATGAGGTGCCTGATCTTGTTGATGGTGAGACCTTTGTCATCCTCATATTTTAACTGTTTTTGCTGTATGTTTGGTCTCGAATTAAGTGGTTTAATCCATGTTTAGCATGGCATCCTTTGCTCTTTACATTATACTACTGAATATGCCAGCAAGAATTCTATTGGTGTATGAGCTATTTCTAAACTTGAGTGATTTTTGTTTGTGATTAAACCTGCAGCAGAAACCTCCCGGAGGGAGTAGACCGTTGTACCTGTGATTTCATCACTCATTTTGTTTGATCTTCGGATCTTTTCCTATATTTGAACAATTTACAGAAATTTTATCAGCTCTTCTTGATCATTGCACTCTCCAGTAGTGAATTTGTTACTAGCAATATTGAGTCATTGACTAGTTCCTTTCTGTAGGTTGCAAAAGAATATTGTGAGCAGTTGGGGGTTGACTCTTGCATCAAGATATTTGAGCAATTTAAGTCGTATGAAGGATTATATTTCTTCTTGGGATCATATTTGAGCTCCAAGTAATTTCTGAAGAAAGCACGAGACTTCGCACTGCAGAGTCTGATTTGCTTTACTGCAGCGAGGATCCTGACATTCACTTCAAGTACATTGAGGCAGCTTCCAAGACTGGACAAACTATGTCATCGACGGTTATGTTCTTTGTACTGAGCACTTGAAGTTGTTTGTTTCAGTTTGATGAATCTTTTTTCACGAGCTTCTGAAGTCTTCAATTTGTGTTTCAATTTTATGTTCTTTGCAAAGGATTAGCTGCAGTATAAACATTCAGAAATGACATTTAAAATTACAGATATACCTAGTGCAGTTGTTAAAACAAATTTCTGATATAACAACTATTATTTCTTCATGTATATGATATCATTTTGATTATTTTTTTAGGTAATCAAATTGTATTCTGAAAAAATATTTCAAAATTCACCAACTTCAAAATTTATATGTTATTTCATACTATATTAACATTAAACTATTAAAATTTATTGAATAATCAGATTTATTGAATAAAA